AGGTCAGATATGCAGGGGGTGAGAGGATTCACCAGAGATGGAGTGGGGAGTAGAATAGGCAGTTCTACTGAAACACACTGCTGAGGAGCAGACAGGAGAGGTCTGCTGTACCATGTGGGTCAGCTCCCTGGCTGGGGATTGAACTTGTGCTCCAGTGGTGGCGGACAGCTTCATGGTGCTGAGACTTAACCTTTTGCGCCACCAGAGAGGCCCTGTATCTTTCCATACTAAGGAGTCAGTTTTACTGGAATCCAGATGCTTCTGGAAACTGATTCCTTTGTCAGTGTCACCACCAACTTTTCTGAAGACAGTCCAGGGCCTAATTTGGAAGCCAGTGCACTTCCCATCAGCACACATAAAGTGTGCATCTTTGATTTCCTACAAGTTCAACTTAGGTGTAATGATAAAGATGGCGATGGTCAGGAGAACCTGGATGCTAGACCATGAAGACAGATTGACCTTTGTTTCCTCCAAGCAAAAGTTAACAGTCAGGGCCTCCCCTGGTGGTGCAGCTGTTGAGTTCTGGGCTGTGAGGCTGCCCGCAGCCTCTGCAGTGCCGGTTTGTTCCCTGGCCGCCAGTGAGGGTCCCACAAAAAAAAAAAAAAAAAAAGTTGACAGACTTAATGTGAACAAAACAAATTTAATAAGATCTTTCATACAGGGTGCATCTTGAGGTAGTGGAAACAGCATGAACTAAAAATTAGAAATCCTGTATCTTCTCTGGGTCCTTTTTTCTGTAGTCATTAATTATCCTTGAGCTTGTTACTTACATTGTCTGAATTTGCTCATCTGCCAAATAGGTATGACAGTAAAGACTGCGATTATTTTATAGGAAAATCATGGAGATGAAAATGAAATAGTGGGTAAGACCCACCTCATCAATTATCATGCATGATGTAAGGTGATATTACTAACCATAAAATAAAACCAAACCAGTAATAATAATTCCTGGAAAGGTTTGCCTTTGAAAACACAAATAGCTTTATAGGTGAACATTCTAAATAATGTAAATCAATGCAGCTTATTACTGTCTGCCATAACAAATTAGCCTTCTATGCATTAGATCAAAGAAATCTGCTAAGTTCTTTTATTATTTAACATTTTTTTGCACAGGCTTAGCTTTACAGAAAAAGAATGGAAAGAACATTGTTTCCAGGTATCTCCTTCCTAACAGCTCAATCCCCTAATTTTCCCTGTTATTAACATCTTGTATTCGTTTGATTCTTTTGCTATAATTGACGAGTCAATATTCACATATTGTTAACTAAGTCTATAGTTTACAATAGGGTTCACTTTTGGTGTTCACATTTTATGGGTTTTGATCAATGTATATTGATGTGTATCCATTCCATTACCGTATCATTTAGGATTGTTCTACTGTCCTGAAAATCCTTCACCTCCTCATCTCTCTTCCTCTCCCTGAACTCCTGGCAATGAGTGATAGTTTTTTGACTGTTTCCATAATTTTGCCTTTTTCCCAAATGTCATAGGCTTCATATAGTATGAAGCTTTCAGATTGACTTATTTCATTTAATAATATGCATTTAGTTTCCTTTATGTCTTTATGTGGCTTGGAAGCTTACTGTTTTTTTTTTGTGTCACTGAGTCATATTCCATTATATAAATGTACCACAATTTGTTTATCCATTCGCCTCTAAAGGTTGTCTTACTTGCTTTGTTTTGGTGACTATGAAAAAAGCTGCTATAAACATATCCATGTGCAGATTTTTGTGTGGACTTAAGTTTTTGACTCTTTTTGGTAAATACCAAGGGACAGATTTGTGGGTCATATGATAAGGGTATGTTTATAGGAAACTGCCAAACTGCCTTCCAAAGGGGCTGTCCCATTTTGCATCCTCACCAGCATGTGATGTCAATGTTGTGGATTTTGGCCGTTTCAAGAGGTATGCAGTGGTCTCTCACTGTTGCTTTCATTTGCAATTAATGACATAGGGTGTTCAGCATCTTTTCATACTACTATCTGCCATTTGTATATTTTCCTTGGTGAAGTATCTGATTAGATCATTTGCCTATTTTTCGATTGGGTTGTTTGTTTTCCTATTGTTGATTTTTAAGATCTCTTTGTATATTTTGGATCCCAATCCTTTAGTGATAGGTATTTTACAAAGATACTCTCCTAGTCTGTGGCTTATCTTTCTGTGGCGGCTTAATAGTTGTTTATCTTTAGTTATTTAACCTCAGCATCACTATCCAACTATTTTCACGCACTACTGAGTTTTAGGTTTATAGCTATTAAATAGTTTGTACAGTCCAAAGGCTTCACTCCTATGTGCCATTGACTTGTTTTGCAGTCAACTGTGCTTGTAGATGAGATCAAGTCATCAAGTCCACCAGCAGCTCAACCTCAACCCTCACGTTCTTAACCGGGATCATCACTATCATTTGAGAGTCAGCCTGTGGCCTTCCCAAGTTGGCTGGGTCTTGCTGAGCTGATTGGAACGACCGACATTTTTGCTGACTGGAGTCATGCTATCTTTGCCAGTTTGCTGGAATAGACACAGACACCCATTGGGTCACGCCGAAGACATTCTTGTCCCGTGAAGCAAGTCAGTTTGTATTTTAGGTTTGCCAGGACTAATGAATTAAAACATTTGGACTCCGCACAACTTGCTGTTTATCAATGCCTCTGACAGGAGGAGGGTTTTCTTTTGCTCTTGCTTTTTCTAGAAGCATGACAACATCCTGGCTGTTAGAGAGGCAAGGAAAGGAGAGAGGGGTTGTAGAGGGAAGCAGAACAGGGAGGCCCCGTGGGACGCCAGGGTCCGGGGGAGAGCAGGTAGCAGAGAGCTGTCCGGACAGCTGTCATTGCTCCTCAGGGTGTCTGGGCTTGCTATGCAGCAGGTGCAGACCACACTCTTACTAAGTCTTTACTCCACAAAGGCAACGACTGGCCAAGGCAGTGGCTGGCCCTGGATCACACAAGTGCAGACACTCCACTAAGTGAGGTAAGGCAACAGGTGTGAAAACTGAACTAAAGACTCAGAGCACCAGCAACTTAACCAAAGCTCTGTTCCAGCCGGGAGGAGGAATCAATGGCTATTTCCCTAGGCGGTGTGATGAAAAGGCAAGTAGGTTTAGGGGCTCTTGTGGTCGACATTGTGTGGAACTCAAAATCCACCCAACTTTGCCACCACCATGCTGGGGGAGGCAGACAGATGCTCTCTGTGGTGCGGCAGGGAGGGACTCTAATTAGCTGGTTTCTCAATTCCATTACCCTTGGCTGGAAACAGTACCAGAGATCTGTTTGCAAAATCCTGGAGGCAAACTCCTCCTGCTCAGCTTCATTTCTTGGTGCAGAGAAGTGCAGAGAGATCCAGTCCAAAGACAGTCCAGCTTTTCATCCTTACATGTGATAGAAAAAGGTTTGCTGATTGTACGATGGCGGAACAGTAAGACTTTTGCTTTTAGCTACAACTTGAAGTGGGGGGGTTATTGTTTGTTTTGTTAAATATGAGACAGTCTGTTCTATTACTCAGAAACAGGTGGCTAACAAGACGTTGGATTCTAAGCATATGCCACAGAAATGTATCTCAGAGCTAAGATAAAACGTATCCTGAGTCAATTAACGGTGATTTTATTTGCCTTTCCTTAAGTTGAAGATTTCATGTTACTACTTTTCTTGAACTAAGAATAACATGACTTGGAGTGCTTTTAGGTTCCTTGCCATTTGCAGGGTTAAATGAATGGGCTCAGGATGATTCTAATGGGTGATAAACAGTTGCTTGTTTTTCTCCAGAGCTATACTAGGTGTTTAATATGAACCTGATCTTGTCATGGGTAAGATGATTCCACATGTATGTATGTCTAAATATCTGTGTATTTATATATATGCATTCACTTTAGCTCTATAAATAATCATCAAAACAAAATTCAGTGTTCTAGGCACTATTTTTAGATAGAAAAAGTTGTGGGAAAGAGTCAGAAGCCTGGCTATGAGAAAATGTCATGTTAAGGCAGTTCCCAGAATCTCAGTAAGGATGGCTAAAGAGATGATTTATACTTTATCATGTTTTAGAGATGTTTTCCTTAAAATATCATTAAGAATTTTTGGTTTACTACCTTATATGAGAAGGAAAGTTAGAAGGATTAAGGGAAGAATAACTCAAAATAAAAGTTAAATATATGTATTTAAATAACAAAGATATCAGATATTTATAACAATTTTTTATTGCCCTGCTCCAAAAAACAAAAGTTATCAAATATCTTGGTTACAATGTATTTGGGCTTAGTTCTCTTATAACAAAGAAATATTCGTGCATTTTTGCCCAAAACCACCCATCTGATCTGTAGGAGCTTTTTCCATTCATTCTTTGTTAATTCATTAAATATTCATTAAATTAATTCAATGTTAATTTAATAGGTGGGGCAGAACATCACTGGGATATTTTTAACTTTTGTCTTTTGTTTGTATCACACATTGTTAAGATGTAACTTTTGAAATATTTGGTAGAGTTACAGGTAGTCCATCAGCTATTTAAGCACATAATTTAAGCACATCATTTCAAAATTGTGGGGTATTTCAAGACAGTCTTTGGTATTCTTGAACTGATTTCATGATACTCATTCTTTACCACACCCAGATCAATAATTCAGAGCCAATTTGCACTTTTAAGCACAAAAAGCTAGTTTCATCTGAAGCTGACACCCTATTAAAAGTTCTTTATTCCCCTCAGTTAAAAATAAACTGCTATATAAAAGGCCTTGACTAAAAGGATGCTAAAAAAGTGACCTGGGTGGAGATTTTACTCCATCGTGTATAGTTCATTCTAGATGTGTATTTCAAAGCCATTTTTCTATGAACCAGAAAAAAAAAATTAAGCTTGACAGGTAAGCACTTTCCACATAAGGAAAGAAAGGAACTAGATGCATCTTTAAAATAAAGAAAATGCTTGCTAACTTTCCCCACTTATTGGCAAAGCTCTGTGCATATTCGAGGGTTGATGTTGGCTAAAGCACTAATGACTCTCTTGTCCTTACAGCTGGAAGACTCAGGGGAAGGCCGAGGCTCAGGTGCCCACATGATCAGCACAGCCAGGGTAGCTGCGGAAAAGCCAGTACGCATCGCCTTCAGCCTTGATAATGCCTCAGGTACGTGTGCTTCGAGGGCAAAGTCCACCTCCCTACCCCTGCCTCCTCACATCACCTTTCCCAGTTCCCTAAAGAGTGTTTGAAAAGTGCATGCCTGGCGTGACCTGGTGGTGGGGAATGTGATTTTCCATCATGGAGTGAGAGTGGCCTTTGGTGATGCTTCCTATCTCCCATTCTGCAGTTGTCTCAGCACATTCTTTTTGTCTTTCCCTACATCAGGTCTCTTATTGTAAATTCATTGAGCTGTAGCAATTTCTAATGATAGTAAAGTATGTCATTGTTAAAAGTGCATGAGGAAAGCTTTACTAAGAACTGGCAGTTGGTTAGGTAATATAAAAATATCGCTGTCCTGGTTCCAACAGCATTTCCTGGAGCCTAAGCTTGAAATGCTGGTTCCTCACTGGTGCTCCCACACTTCCGGCTAGCCTGACTCGGCAGGAGTGATGAATGGGACAGGTGAGGTGGGCCCTCTTGGAATAGTAAGGTCTGAGGTGATACTGCCATACTTAGAGTCCTATGTCATGCTCCCTGCAGTGACCTCTTAACACATATACTGACAGGGGACCTCAGGTGGTGTGAGGTCACAGGGGTGAAGAGGGGAACACTTGGATCTCTACTGTGGCATCAGCCATCACTCTCATTCGAATGCCATCCATGAAAACCACATCTCACATGCTCAAACAACATTGCCATTTAAACCTGGGGTCTTTCTGAGGACCAACTCTAGCTCTGTATTATTTTACCATTTCTATCTAGCCAGCCAGCTATCAATCCAATCTATTTATATTTATCATTGATGTCATGGTAATACTTTAACAAGTAAGGATCGAAAAGGGGCAGGTTGATCTCTAAAATAATGCAAAGCAAGGATCTGCACTCTGTGAAGTCTGACATGACACAGCCAATTCAGGCTTTAACACACTTGTGATTATGGTGGTAACACATTTACCCCTGGTGTTCCTAAACTGTGCAGTCCCCAAGGAAGGATTTGTCCTATGCCCCCACTCAGGGGTTGCCTTGAAAGATGCTGGTGAAGGGAAATCCTCTCAATAGACAAAACAACCCATCCCAGCATAAACAATTACTGGAAATGCTTTTGTCTTTTGTATTGTGCATTCATGAATATTATTTCTGATCTCAAGAGAAACATGCAGTATAGGCATCAACATTCCCAATTTGCAAGAATAGAGACTGAGGTCTAGAGGACACACTTTTCCTAAGTAATAGAGCTATAAATTTCAAGTTAGGCCCCTAGATTTGACAGCCTGAACACTCCAGTATTCCACGCCCCTCCTGTTTTCATGTACTTCGTAAACACAAGATTCAAAGGAGTAATCAGTGCCTGAGTGGCAGGCTCTCGAGAGAAATGAGCAACCCAATGATCCAGGGAGAAAGGAGCTGTAAATTCTTCCCTGTGCTCATGCCCCATAGGAGCAGAAAAGTCCTGTTATCGACAGCCTTACACAGAAAACTTTAATATAAAAAATGCTTTATTCCAAGCAATAGTATCACAATTTTGGCTGAGAGAAACAAATGCACTCTTGCCTCACCGCCTCTTTCAAATGTCCCAAGAATGCCCACTTTTGAAATTCATGTTTTTTTTGATATGGTAGCTTCAAAAAGTGTTGCCATTTATTTCAAGTAATTTCTACCCTTCAGTTCTACAAAAATGGTGTTTAAGAAACCTTATGAAGAATTTACCAAAATTAAATTTTTCTTCCTTGTCATTAAATTTTCCCCATTTCTGGAGGAAGGATACCTCACTAGAGAATATAAGGGAGGCTTGGGCATTCTGTGTCTCCTTCTTCGTTATAATAATCATCTGAGAGCACGCACCAAAAAAGCGAGTTTCGAGGTCCTACTCCTGCCTCTCCTGATGCAGTCAATCCAGATTGAGGTCCAGCAGGCTTTCACATGCACTTGGGGCTGCAAATGCACAGAGAGATGCTTCTATTTGGGGACACTCCCTCTGAATTCTTGACTCAGGAGCATGTGGAGAGTCACACTGAGCAACACTTGCCATTGTGAATGCTGCACATGCCTTTTGAATACCAGTGCATGTGGCCTATGGACCACATGTTTAGGGGAAAAACATCCTAGACCCTCATAGTAAATGGGGAGACCAAGGTGGATTTCTGGGGAGTATTTCCTTCTTAGTGGATTTATTGTTTTTTTTTTTTTTTAAAGTATCTTTTCTTTATTGCAGGAACATTGGTTTACAGCACTGTATGTGACTTAGGGGTACAGGTTCTTTATATGTTTGTTACCACACCACACTCACTACCAAAGTATCCATGGTCCTCCACCACAGTCCACTGGGCCCCCTGGCTCCTTTGTTCCCATTCCCATCATCCCTGCTGGCAGCCTCATTTCTGCAGTCAGTCTTCAAGGATTTGTCTTGATGAATTTATTGTTGATGAGTAAACAAAGTCCATGAGAAAAGGAGAGGTCTTCTCCTATCATTATTGACTTTCCTCTGAGTTAATACACCATCCTCACCCCTCCAGTTATGTTAGTAATTTTTTATTCATTTTTAGCTGAGACAATCTGATGTAGCATTTAAGGACCTAGGGCTTTGGAGTTGATGGGATATGCTATGTATATATCATATACATAGCATAGTATCATACCTCCTATAGGTTTTATAAGGTAAAGACATTTTGGGAGAAAAAGTCTATGCCACCCAGAGCAGGTGGGAAAATCTTGGAAGATTTGATAGTTAACCTGGGATAGACGGTGGGAAGGGGACTCAAGGTAGTGTAGGGAAAGACAGGTGCTATTTCCAGCATCAGGTATAGAAAAAGAGGGATTATACATCTTTCAATCATTCTTTTTCCTTTTCCATTGCACCAGAAAGGCTGAACACTACCTACGATTCAGGAAACATTAAAACTTGTCATTTAGAGCAGGGGTGTGAGTGGGGGAAGAATACCCTGACATTTATGAGCCATGATTAGAGCCAGGCCTTATCTGGAAATGTCCATAGAAGATCTGTTTAGATAGTGGTATCCTAGACTTACCAAGTCAAGGTTTAACAGCTCAAAAGAGTCTGGACTTGATCAGAAGCAATAGCATGTCGAAGTATTTGAGCAAGGGAGTATGCAATGTGATGAAAATTGTCTTCTGATTGGAATAGCCTGGAATGTGGAGAGATGAAATAATGGAAGAGCTTCTCTATGATGGTAGAGAGACAAAGTGATGAATATCTGGGTTAGAGATGGGATGGATGACTGAATTCAGGGTACATTTTGAAGGATAGCTTCGAAGGACTTGGTGACTGGTTGATTGGGTGTTCATCAGTATTCCTTAAGAGCAGAATGAGTCACAGGACACCAAATACAGCAGAGATCTCCAGGGGCTTACATAAAGGAAGCAAGTTTTTAGTGGGGAAAAGTCCTCTATAATACAATCACCATTTCTAGCCTATCATCAGAATCCTTCAAGTAACACTTAGCAGGCTGTAATTCCCAGAGGCAGCAACACCATTATGCATTAATGATATGATTGGCATTACTTTAATAAATAGTATGATTGGCATGACTTGACAATTCCAAAGAGCATTCTAAATTGGGATCTTGAGGGAGTTAGTTTTCCCAATAGAAAGTGTGCAGTAGAGAAATAAGAATCTCACCTCTTAGATCATTAGCGAATCACTGGCCCATCTCCAATTAGAGAGAATTTAGAGCTGGACTGACATGAGGATTTCAGGTTAATTACTCAAGAGTTTTCTTTATCTTCAACTGAACAAAAACCTGGCATACTCTTGTGTAAATTTACAACTTGACTTGGGGGTTCTGTTTTTCTTAAGCCTTTACGTCTTATCTTAATGAATCAAGAATACTGGTATTAGCCCAAGTTGGTAGCTTTCAACTTTCTGCTTTTAAATCTCTTAATCTATTAGAATTTTTCATATCTGGGCATAAATTAATCATATGCTATTTAGTTTTTTTTTAAAAGCAACCCTTTTGAATACCAGTGCATGTGGTAACCCTTTCTGTTGGTGTCTCTTTCAAGTAATACTGTTTTCTCCTCACATAGCAGGGTGTTTTGGGTGCTAGTGGGGGTTACGTGGAGCCGTCACATAGTGACTCATGAATCAGTGTGAATGTCTTACTATGGACATGTGCAAAACCAGCTCTCCGCTGTATTGTGATGCAGATAGAGCATGCCTCCATAATGTCCCCTTCCTTTAACTTTTCTACCTTTGGTGCCTTTTGGTATTCTTTCCCTCTCCCTCTTCAAGACCCCCCAAATTTCTGGTATCCCTCCTCTCTACTCTCTCAATCCTTGTTCTCAGAAAAGACTCTGAAAAACCTTTTTCCTACTAAGCAATAAATGAATATGGAGATTTACCCTGTTTATCTCTCCAAGGGTTTATTTTTCTTATCCACAGGGAGCATTAGTAGGAAGTCAAGGGACAAAATTCATTGGTAAGGATGGCACTTGAGAAACAGGCTGGAGGAGTATTCTTGAATTCTCTCAAATCACATTCATGACCACTGGCAAAGCATTTTGCTACCAGGACTACAATGTTCCCCTTTTATTACATGGACTTTACATCTAAATGGGTAACAAATTAAAAAGAGTCCCAGTGGCCTGGCTTGAATCCCTTCTGACTATTAACTGCTTGATTTGAAGCAAGTTACTTAACCTCCAGAGCCAGTGGTCAACATCTACAGAATGGTATACCGTAATAACATCTCCTGCACAGTTGTTGCCAGTATTAAATTGAAGAGATGATACAAATAGGAGCACCTAGTTATTCCATAAGCATTCACTCCCTTTCTGGACTTGCTTTACAGCTTTATGCAACAGACTCTAACCAGTTGTATCTCAAAGAATATGAGATATCAGACTAACAACTCAAAGTAGTTTTATATGTATATTGTAATACAATATATATAACATATATCTAAAATATGTTTATATATAGTGATTGATTTTATGGTATTTGATTATTAAATTATTACTATGGTTCTGTGCTCTGTGAAGTTTGTAAA